AAAAAAAAAAAAAATGAAAAAAAGCCAATGTAGCAGAAAAAAAAAACACGTATTGAGTAATGCTAGAGAACCTTTTACCATTCTCTGGTAGCAAAAGTCAACTGAGTTTTTTTTTTTTCTATATGATGCGAAGCAGAAACATATACACATCCTCTTCACTTTCATCGTGTGTTGCAGCGTGGAAGAAGAGAAAAGAGGCACATGATGGTCAAGGAAGGAAACTGGAGCTAAATTTCGAAATGGCAATAGCATATGATAAAAAAAAGAGAATCCAAAACAAGAACAAAACAAAAGGAAAAGTAAGTCACACCAAGAGGGAGAGGGGCGTGAAGGGGGGAATGAAGCGAATAAAAAAAAAAAAAAAAAAATGAGAAAGAATGAAATATAAAAAGCAACAAACTTCACTCATCCTGAAAGGGGTAAAGAAAGGAAAACAAAAAACATATCCTACTTGCTTGCAGGTGGTTGTGGTTCTTTCTGGGGCGTCTTGTCATCCTTTGAGATATTAATACTGTTGTTGGTATTTACGCCACTGGCATTTCTAGACGCAGCAATCATATTCCGAACGGAGGTGACAAAAGAACTCCGAGCTCCAGTCGGTTTCGCTGGTGTCACAATATGTGTAACAGGGTGCGAATCATCTTCTCCTAGTGATCTTTCCTTCGTATCTGTCTCTTCCCCTAATACACCACTTAGGCTCTCTCGGTTTCTCTCAAGAGAATCAATCAAAGCGTCAAAAACAGCGACTTTACCCACAGGTTTATTATCATCAAGAGCTTTTAACATGACACCAAAAATCGAATCAATTGAGTGTTGCTCCACATATTTGCTAAACTTCACATCACTTACAGCACGCCTAGCACTTCCTTTCGTTTTCCCTTTTTCATCTCTCACAGTGTTCTCAGAATTAGAGTTTACATTTTTCTTGGATTCTGAAGTTTCAACAGGGTACTTTGTTTTGTAAATCTCAAAAAAGTGACGGAGAGTTAGCATAGGGCCTCCATAATTAAATAAGGACACTGATGCCGGGCGCCATGGTTCATTCCCATATTCTGAGAGCCATAAAAACAAAAGTGCCAGACGATAAGCCTTTGCTGCAGTCATTTCTTCAGTTGAAATAAGATATTTAAAAAAGTAGCTGTACGTTTCAATTGGTCCTTCACCTGTTACTCCAAAAATTGGCATAAGAGCAGCACGGTGAATACCCACCCCAGTTTCACGACCTAAAACATGAGATACAAATAAATCTGCACTTTGGTTAAACGGCACCCCTCGAAGGAATGAGGCGGAACGATTAGAATCATACACAGATGAACTTTTACTGTCCTTGTCTCCCATCTCACACCTTTTCCAACCATAACGTGTTCTTACCTCTTCATGAATAAAAAGAGCAGTTTTAGATGTTTGATTCGCATCTTTGCCGTGTAAAAAAGCATGGGTTGGAACTCCTGGATAAACGTTACCTATTGTCTTCTGCAGAAATGATCCCCATGGAACGTTACCCCATAATTCTTGTGGTTCTACTTTTTGATATATTTTGGTATTTTTTCCCTCTGATAAATCCTTTCCTGACGCATTACAACCAACATCATTAATATTCATAAAAGTAACCATATTTGATGTGGCATTCATTAATTTTTCTGAAACAGCCTTTGAAGGTTTTACAACAGTATCATATATTCGTGTAATAGTAGGAAAACTGGTAGCATAATTAGACCAAGGAATCTCTGAAGAAAGAATTAAATCCCATGGACGATATGCCATAAAAGTTGCCCATTTCAATACACAAGTGATTGAATTACGCTTGGATTGCAAAGCGTGAAATGGAATAGGCATTTGTTTTGGTGCCCAGGTATGAATAAAACAAACCTCACTCACCTTTGAGGATGGAGCATATACTTTTTTTGCAGCAGGAGGTAGAAGATTTTCAATTGGAGTGATATATCGAGTATATAAAGAATACATTAGTTTATCCCACATATTTTTAGCTGCTTTCCTTGCTTCTTCCCTTCTACCGGGTTTACATCTCCTTAATTTTTCCTCAAATATATTGTAAACATTTTCAAGGCGGTTAAATTCATCTGCGGCTACGGTATCCAAGGTCATAGGCACCATACGCAATTCCCCTTTTTTTATAACATATACACAACCCTTAGTAGCAGATATCATCGTATAAATTACAATGCTTACTTTTTGTTGTATACTATACTCTTGTAATTCATGTACTAGTATAAATGGACCAGAAGATGTTATCCATCGTATGGTTGGATCTAACATGGGAGAACTTTCAAGTCCATCCGATACAGACGATCGACTCTTAGAAGCAGATTTACACCTATTCGTTGAACATGCATCCAATTGAACCTTAATAAGATCATGTCCTGCATTAAAAAGAAGATGTGTAAGTGCAATATCGAATGCATCATATGTTTTTTTCTGTTCCACATGCCACTCTTCACCTTCACTTAAGAATTTCTGAGCAATATCATTTAATTTCGTTAATACAGTAGGTGTAGGAGTGTTTACAAGGAAATATTCCATAACTCGCATAAGAGTACCACAAGCATCACGTAGCAAAGATTTCATATTATTGCATATAGAAAGTTTTTCTGGATTTTCTGGTGGTAATAAATTCCATCTTTCCCGTCCAATTTCCCATGAACGGTAGAGTGACTCCACTTCTTGACAATATGGATCCAGCAGAGAATCATCTTCTCTGCATGCACAAAGGTACGAAACATCGTCTAATGGTTCTTTAGATATATTATTACTACTCTTTGATTCATTCTTATTTTGCAAAGATCCATCGTCATTACTTTGACTATTATTTAAAGGTAATAAATCATCACTTACCGTTAGAGAAGTTAATATATCTCTATAATACTCCATAAACATATTATCATGCTGATAATATTCCAGCATACGATGTGCTAATTCAGCTACACTAGAAAAAGATTCTGGAGATCTTAGATATGTCTTTCTTGCCTTAATAATCAGCCATACAGGTGAAGTAGCAGATCTCCAATATGGTTTGGAATTGATAACATTTAGAAAAAACTCTGTATTTTTCTCAATCCATCTTAATAAATCTGGTTCTACTTCTTGTATGGTTGTTAAAACCTCTTTTAGTCTATCTGGATCAAGACTCACATATTCAACAATAGAAACCATAAGAGGATGACCACGAATATAATTTGGATCTTCACTATAATACATCTCTATATAATCAAGAAAGTCTTTCATGCTTCGTTTACCTCGTAAAAACACAAAATGTTTTAGAAAACGATACTCATCAGACTCTGTTATATCGCCTTGAATATGTTTGATATCACTACTAGTAGGGGTGGTATTCACAGTAGGAGTTGAATTAAGAATATTGATTTTGGGCCTTGTTACTTTTCTCTCGGAAACAACAGAAGCAGAAGAAGGAGCTGTACTACTCCTTTCCATTATAAAATCATTAGACATTCCTTTCCCCCTATTGACTTCATCTGCCGATTTAACATTTCTAGTTAACGATGTTCCAATTCCCTTTCCCATAGCAACGTTATTTGGATAGTTTCGCCTTCCCACAACCAGAATAACACCTCTCTCTGGTATTTCAACTTCCTCTTTCTCATTCTTCTCTACTACTACTTCCTCTTCTTGTTGTTGTTTTTCCTCTTGTTGCTGTTTTTTCTGTTGTTGTTGTTGTTGTTTCATCGTGGCTGTATAGAAGACCTTTCCGTTTGCGCAGAGTTTAATAGTCTCCGGCAGCAATTGCAGTTGATTGACCGCCGCCTCGAGCAGCCGCTGCAGCGTGAAGGGCGGTGCGACTGTGCACGTCCTGCCAGAGACAGTCTTCAGCTGCACCTTAGTCCTCACATCAGACATCTCACTTATATATATGTATAGATATACAGATATATATATATATAGATATACAGATAGATATATGTGTGTGTAGATATTAGGTATAGATATTAGATATATATATCGATATATATATATATATATATATATA